CGCCGCTTCCCAGATGTTGCGGTGTGATCGCGCCCATTTGCTGGGCCCCCGATCCGCCCCTCTTCCGGGCCTAAACCTCCCATGTTACCGGGGCCTAAAACAGTGATCCTGCATAGATTAAGACCCTCAGATGGAACATGGAGTCCCATCCATTGGGTCAAGAGTCTGTGAAAAGCTGTCATTTCTTTGTAGTCTTTTTTTCGGGGGGGGGGGAGATTTGCTTCTAGTGTGTATCCAAAGAGAGCAAGACTGTCACACCTCCTGAAGTACAAGTGAAGTCACTCAGTGGTGGAGAGGATTCTTCCTGTCACAAGACTGTGATATCACATTACTTCTAGTTACATGCTTGTAATTCAGAGAGTCCCATGTTCCCACCTGGGTGGGATACATGTGAGTCCCAGGTCTGCAAAGAATGAAGAAATTACTTGATCTTGGACAAAATTTTCTGATTCTTGCTTTTTAAATTAATTTTTTAAAAAACATTTGCATGGATCCATTTTCCCCCAAATGATGACATTTTCTAAATATATTTATCAGTTTAAATATGATAATATAATGTGTAACTCTATCAGAATTTTAGTAATTCTTATTCTATGGAGTAATTCTTATTCAGTTCTCTCTTCTTCTTCTTCTATGGAGAATGCTCATTCTCCCACGCTAATTCCTGGTTCACATTACCCTTTTTCTCGTATCATATCTGTCAATAAATATTGCACCTATATTATGTCTCTGTACATAGTCAGCTAAAACAAAGCACTTTGCAGATAAGTACTGGTAAGTTTTTCCTTATTCTTACTATTACAAATGCTTACTCCGCTAGGATTTTTTCGACGCAGCATCACCAAAAATGCAATCTACAGATGCAAGAATGGCGGTCACTGTGAAATGGATATGTATATGAGGAGGAAATGTCAGGAGTGTCGCCTCAAGAAGTGCAAAGCTGTGGGAATGCTTGCTGAATGTGAGTGCCTAACAATGGAGCAGCCTGGCATCTGAATTGCTTCCCAGACACGCTCAAAAGCAGCTAAGTGGTATTCCCTGCAAAAGGAATTATAACATGAGTTCCTTAGCCTCCAGAAAATAGGTGGTATTCATCTCCATATGTATTGTATATCAGTATTTTGAAATAGGTTTATGTCAGATGACATCATGTGATTTTTATTTTTTAAATAAAGCTCAACTGTATTCAGGGTTTCTTCCCCACAGGTAAGTATGCAGTGGTTGCAATCCTATTCACACTTATATAGGAGTGAGTCTCATCAAAGTCAGTGGGATTTATAACTGAGTTAACATGCATATAAGTAGGCATACCACATTGTGCCAGAATCTATTAAACTGGAAACCAGTCCCATGATTTGTACCTGTGAATTTATACAGGTCCAATTTGGATCCAATCCAAATTGCAGACCCAAGACTATGTTTTAGGATCAAAAAGAATCCCAGGAGATCCAATGCAATATTTCTAACTTAACGTATAGTTTGGTAGTATTTTCCTCTGTATAAATTATTTGCAGGTCTATTGACAGAAGTCCAGTGTAAATCAAAGCGACTCAGAAAGAAGAGCAGTTTCCTTTGTAACGTCAAAGTGGAAGATGAGGGAGTGGACAACAAACATGTATCCTCTACAACCAAACCTTTAAAAGTAGAGTCATTATTTTATATTTGGAATTATTATTTCATTTTAAACTTTAATTTTGCCTCAAAGTGATGCACATCTGTCTTTTAAAGGTCCAGGAAAAGATAGAATTTACTTCTGGGGAACATCAGCTCATTGATCATATTGTTGCTGCTCATCAAAAATGCACAATTCCCCTGGAAGAAGCAAAGAAGTTTGTATGTGTTAGAAAATACTGAACATCATGTTAATTTGTTATTGTTCAATCTGTTATTCTTATTTTCTAATTGTATATCTCACTAATCTCAAATCCTTTAAATTTAGCTACAGGAAACTACCAATCCTGAAGAGAACTTTCTACGACTTTCAGAATCAGCTGTGGTTCATGTGCAGGTACTAGTGGATTTTACAAAAAGACTCCCAGGTAACTTTTTTCATAGGGACAATTCCAGAGATGTTGCTATGTTAGTTTGTTGCAGGAAAAAAAAAATCAAAACATTGAATGTACTGTGAAGGTTTCTTCTCAACAGTGGATTGAAAAGTGTCCTTTAACACTGGGTTATTTGCTCCACAAGGCAGGGCATATGCAAATTAATTTGTAAGGCTTCTGCATCCAGCTACGGATAAACCCCAGTTTGTGGCTTGCCAAGCTATCAGGTAGGAAATTGCAGCACCAGGTACAATGTTTCACTTGGAAACAACTTGGAATGGGAAAAACAACAACTAGAAAAGGGATAAGGAAGACACCCAGGAACCTTATTGAATCTGAATCAGGGGTTGTTCTCTCCAAATTCTGCAGTCCCAATGAGAGTGGGGAAGAATACTTTCCAATCTACTGATTTACTTAAAGTAAACCCAGTGTCTCATTCTCAATCAATGGAGGAAAGTATCCTTTAACACTGGGATACTAAAAAGCTGTGTCAGCCCAGGCAGGAGATGATAAGGAATAACACACTGTAAGATTTATCTACTTAGACTGTCTCAGCCAGGGTGAATATACCTAGGCTGAAGAACCTCCCAGAATGAGAGGCAGATGCCTCACTGGCTGACAGATTTCTCCAATACCCACACAGATGGAAAGAGCAGCCCCTTATCAAAGAGACTGATAATGCCCAAAGGAACTGAATGATGTTGGACCTTCTAGATCAGCAACTCCTTCCAGCAATGGATAAACTACAAACCTTTCTGCCACATTCCCAGGTCTATATGGAAGGCAGACAGTAGTCCAAGCATGGACAAAGGGGCCACCACACAACCCAAACTAGCATCCCTTCTATTGAGATATTTGGTTGATATAGCAGAGTTTTGCCCAGTCATAGAAGACTCTTGAGAGTCCCTTGGACTGCAAGGAGATCAAATCAGTCAATCCTAAAAGAAATCAACCCTGACTGTTCCCTGGAAGGCCAGATACTGAAGCTCAAATACTTTGGCCACCAAATGAGAAGGGAGCACTCACTGGAGAAGACCCTGATGCTGGGAAAGACTGAAGGTAAAAGAAGAAGGGGACGGCAAAGGATGAGATGGTTTGACAGTGTTATCGATGCAACGAACATGAAATTAAGCAAATTCCGGAGCATGATGGAAGACAGGAGGTCCATGGGGTTGCGAAGAGTTGGACTCGATGGTGCGACTGAACAACAAAGAAGCACGATACTGAGTGCAGTAAATAAATCTCCCAAGAAGTATATTGCAAAAAATGTAAACTTTCATTTATTCAAGTTGATCCAATTCACATTCAGGATGTAGTCAAAAGAAGAGAAAGAAGCCTAATCTAAAGAGGACTTTCCCTCTCACATATGGCCAGCTTGTCCAGCATCATGTGTGTGGGAGTGTGAGGACATTGTCTCTACAGGAGAGACTTGCAGAGACATGTGTCTCCATGGAAGGTCATGTGTGAGAGGACAAAGAGAGGACAAAGAGAGAGGAGGGGTCAGAGGGGAGCTCCCAGGTTAAGACAAAGAGAGGCATCTAATTCAAGGAGATAATGCCTATACACACTTAGAGTGATGTAGTGCCCCCCCCCCAATGTCCAGGCATGCTGAGTCGCTCACTCCAGCACCTTCACTGATACGGAATCAGAAACTGCCCCTTTCTCCATGGGAGTTGCTGCTGCACAGCTTTAGACAATCGACTGATCATGACTCAGACCACCCCTAATTTTTTAATGAAATGTCTTTATGAGTGTGCCATCAGGAAACCATGAAACCAAAGCAAGAGACCCTTCCAAAAAAGGGGAGGAAGAGTGACAGAGCGGGAGCACCTTACTGCAGTTAAAAAATAGCATTGAGGAGGACAGTATTTACTCGTAATACACATAAGCCCTCCTGTGGTTGTGGAAAGAAAATGCAAAGGCAACTTGGGGAATAAAAGCAAAGAGAATGGCTGGGAATATAACTCTATAGCACTGTATGGTACATAGGAACACCACTGTCAAACAGACACAAGATTGAGGCATACAGTGATAGGCCAGTGGAGATACAGTCACATGCTAACTCCATTGTGGAACAAAGGAAAGGATGAGTGCAATTTGTAACATATAGCTGAGCCCAGAGTTCACCTCAGGGATGAATGAAGAATTTTCTCTGGCAGCTATAGAGTCTTCCAGAGAGGAACAAAACTCCTGTCTCGCTGACAGCATGGGGTGGGGAGAGTTCCAGGATGCTACAAGTCATCATGATGACCCCGTGGAAGACCACCTTGAAAGGCAGGATTTCCTCAGAAAACAACTTTATGAGTTTGAATGAAAATTAGTATAATTTCTGAAGGATCTTGTGGAGGTCCAATGGCAGGGAACAGTAGACAGTAGCAAGGATAGAAACAGATGCTGAGGCATCCTTCTGGGTATCTATGCACTGAGGGGGGTCTGGCCTTCCACTGGGTTCAAGACAGAGGGCAGGCAGCGAATTGGCATTTGAGGGTGTGTTCAGCCAGAGGCTTAGACCCAGTCCTGGAAGGAAGGGGCACTTCCAGAATCCCCCTTGCTTAGGAATTAAAGGTCTTTTTCTTTCTTCCTTCTTTTTTTGCAACCCAGGACAATAGGAAGTGGAAAGAGGCATCTGCTTATCAATGAATTAGATTGATTAACCAAGGAGTTTAGAATTCTGCATTGATTTTCAGGCAAAATGTCATGGCCAGGGAATGATTCAAAGACTTCTGAGCCATTGCTACTTGGTTAAAGAATCCATGGACATCCACTAGGGAGTAATGAGAGATACATTTGCATCCTCCCGATTGAACATGTTGAAGTCAGTAGGATATGTGAAGAGTTTGAGGAAGTTGTAAGAGGATGCCTGAAGACCACTTGGTGGTGAGAGGAGCTTCCCTCTTCAGCTCCATCTGACTAGACTCCTGACAGGAATCTTGGAAACACATCTCTACTGGCAACACAAACTGATACAGAGAAGGCCAGCCCAAGCCTCTTGCTCACTATGCTGAAGACTGAAGTTCATGGCCCCTTGCCCTGATGACTGAGCTAGACGGCCTTCAGACAGAACAAGTCCTGAAGTGATGTGCTGTGGATTTCTACCTGCAGCAGTTGGAGAGCCTTTGCTGAACAGTGTAGGACCACATGTTGTCTTGGAATGTATGTGTGCCTGTCCAGCCCTAGCTGCTGGAAGCAGCTAGGTGGATGGCTCACAGCTCTATCCTATGTGTTCCCTTTCTGCATGGAAGAACCCATGTATTCTGGGCTGCTAGCTGAGGAGGCTTGTATCCATGGGTATCTCTACTCATCGTGAGTCTGGAGAGGGCGTGCCCAAGCAAAAGTCATCTTGGATCATCCAGAAGAAGGATTTGCATACTTCCCTTGAATCAAATGAGTTGCTCCAGATGTCCTGAAAAGGAAGGAGGAGGCCCTGAAGTTTGTAAGAATGGAAATAATCCTCTGGGATCATGCCAGGCAAGTGATCCTGGTGGACTAAAACTTGGCAGAACTATCTGATCTGCTATGGAGAAGTAGCACAGTAGTGCCCTAGACAGCTGGACCTGTGTTCCTCTGACAGGAAGATCCTAGAAAGGAAAGACTGGTTTCAGTGGGGCCAGCTTAATCATTTGATGGTTCACTGGGAGTTCAAAATCTTGAAGTGTGTTTAGAAATATCTGGAAGACCCACCTGACTGTTGGAATAGGACCTGAAGAGATGGGGGCCTCTCCATACAGATTAGCATGAACCCCTTTAATCCTCATGATAACTATGATGGCAGCCCTCAATTTAGTAAAGATCTATGAGTGAGAAAAATCCTAGACAGAGAGTGACTCATGCTGATACACATTCTTGATGGCTAGAAAACCCCCCACAAAGCATCCTGGTAGCAGGACCACTGCAATGGAGCATTGGGTCTCCTGGCAAACACAATGTCTCCTCCTCATGAATCAGAATGAAATGTCTTGGCTTTAAGAATTTCTTTGAGTGTTCTTCTGCCTTGGGTATGTAAGGAAGATAGAGGGGAAAACCTCTGGCAACAAGGTTGAATGCCTAAATCATGAGGGTATGCCATCCCTTTTTCTGGAGAGAATCATCCCAGGACTATAGGTTTGTTTAATTCACTTGTGATGTCTGAACTGGACTGGAACCTTACCTGAGCAAAGCCCTCAAAATGGCTGCCTATGCTATCCTTAGGACTGGAATTGTTGCTGTCCAGGTTTGATGGAAAAGCAGTAGTACTGGGTATTGGAGTTGGAGCCAAAAGAGAACATAGAACACTTCCAGGAGGACCAGCTGAACCTGAAACCCATGTGGTCTCCATGTTGAAAGAAACTACAGAAACAGCAAAAGGAATTAAGTTCTGATCTATAAATCTATATTCCTCCTTCCTGGCAGAAGAAATATCACATTTATCCTCTTTTTAAATATCTACTAAGATTCCATGCAGGAATGAGTGTCCTAGAGGTTAGTTTTCCGAAAAGGGAAGGATAGGCTAGTTATGGGCAGGAGGTCCATTTTCCAGCATTCTAGCTACAGGATATAACAGATCAAAATATAAGATGCAACAAGTGTGCTGAAAAACCTTGTTTCAAGAAGAAGAAGAAGAAGAGGAGGAGGAGGAGGAGGAGATTGGATTTATACCCTGCCCTTCACTACCCAAAGGTGTCTCAGAGCGGCTTACAAACTCCTTTCCCTTCCCCTCCCCACAACAGACACCCTGTGAGGTGGGTGGGGCTGAAAGAGCTCTGACAGAAACTGCTCTTTTTTAAAGAACAGCTGTGCCAGAATTATGGCTTGCCCAAGGTCATCCAGCCAGGTGCAAGTGGAGGAGTGGGGAATCAAACCTGGTTCTCCCAGATTAGAGTCTGTGCACTTAACCACTACACCAAACTAGACCAAGAAGTGACTGGATCTTGCTGGAGTTCCTGTCATAAGGGCCACAGCTCTAGAGAAGATGGAAAAGGTGTCTTTTTATATTCTATTTTTTTCCGAGGTGGAGCAAGGCAGCTATCTTACCCTCACAACAACCTTGTGAGGCAGGTTAGATGCTGAAAAGCTCCTGATGACATGCATATATGTTGTCTTCTTCCATTAAACAGAACACCCCTTTGAGGTATAGAGAGTGATGGGCTCAAGATCACCCAGCAAGCTACATTGCAGTGTGATGAACCCAGGACTTCCAAATCACAAGTTAATCTTCTAATCACTGAACCACTTTAGTTATCTTTAATATGAATATTTTGGACTGTAGGAATAGAAGTAGCCTTTTCCAAGAGGTAGGAAAAGGCCTGTGCTCGCAAGATGGGTGGAGACAGTACTTGCAGGCCAGCCAGTCTTACTCCTGCATTTTGAGACTGGTGACTAGAAAAAGCTCCCAGACCCCTTCCGTAAAGATGAGGGTTAGGGTCTAGGGAATCAGCTCCTGATCCTCCAGAGAAGAGATGGTGGGAGTGAAAGCTCCTCCCTGACCTTTCAATAGGCTTGCCAACATTCAGGTGGAGCCTGGCGTTCTCTTGGAATTACAACTGCACATCCCCCCACTGACTGTAGTGGTATCTCTAGGAGGAAGAAATGGGGGGGGGGGTTTACAGACTGTAGCACAAAATCTTTCATACTGTGGAACCATGGAGTTGGATGGGATGGCCAGAACAGCTGAAGAGGGTGGGGGGGTAGAGCTCCAGAGGGCCCTCGCCACCCCTAAATAGCCCCTGGTACTGCTTGAGGCACCATCAATAGATCCTGGCTGATACCAAGAAACTGGATTAGTACAGAGCCTACAGTGTGCTCACCTTTGCCTCTGAAGCCACTGGCAGTCACTGGCAATGAGAAGGGCCATATTGAGGGCAGTCAAACTGCATGTCTCCCAGCCTGGGGAACTGGCAAAAGGAAGCATAGATATTTCAAGGAAGCTCCAGGGTGCTGCTACTGCTACTTGTTGGGGCCAAAACATCCTCTGGAGAGCCAGCTGTGCATTCACTGTTCCTGCCTGAATGGGAGAGCAGAGTGGCAGAGTGGCAACAGCAAGGTTGCTGCTGTGTTGAAGCTCTTTTGTTGAGCTTGACCCTGACTGAAGGCTTGGAGAGGAGGGAGGCTGGATGCACACCCACTGTTCTTGCCAGGACCATGCTAAGATCAGCACAGCAGCAATGGTGAGATACCCTTTCCCTTTTCACTTGCATCTGGTTGAAGACTGGGTGCAAAGCAGTTAGTAGGCTGCTGAATCCTCTTAATATTCTTTTTAAATTGTTTGGACCTGAAGATGCCTAATAGAGAAAAAGGCCCCTAGAATGCTAACCCTACCATGGAACAGGTAGGGCAAGGACTGGGGAGAGGGGCTTTGCTTCCTCCAGGACATGGAAGCCTTGCAGGTTAATTTGCATACGCCCTGCCTTCTGGAGCAAGTGGGAGGTATATCACAGTGTTAAAGGAAAGCTTCCTCCACTAACAGAGAAAAACTGAAGCCACTAACAGATCTTTATTCTAGCTTTTGTGGAGTAGAGCCTACCACATTCTTTGCTACTTGATGTTCCATAAGGAATTTTGTAAAAAAAATAAAATAATAACCTGCTACCTACCTTGATGGCCCTTGTTCGGTCATTAGTTACTCTAAAGATGTATCTTCTCTATAAAATTGTACTAGCTTCATGCCAGTTTTATCTTTCATGATATTCCTCCCAAAATCCCAGACATTATAGTTTGAGGGTACTGGGAATTCTCTGCTAAAGATCATTAGCCAAAAAGAGCCAGTTACAGTTAAATTGTTTTTGGCGGAGCTGAGTACTTTTGTGGTTTAAATAACTGATTCTGCAACCCTTTTGCTTCTGTGTTCAGAACAATAAATACATTAAACATTAAGATGTCACAGTCAGTACGTTTGGCTCACATCTCTTTATTTGTTTTGAGCTGAACCACCATTCCCATTTTCAAGTGATAGGGAAATATAATATAGGGTTTTATTAATAATGCTGTTGTGGAGGTACACACCAAGAAACAGTGAAACAATCAGATTATTTTAGGTGAGTCTTTTTATATGTTTTGCCATTCCTTACAAATTGAATAAACTATATATTTGTTCATGGTAAATTCACATCTAAAGCTGCCAATAAGGTACGTATGTGGCACATCCTAGAAGAGTCTTCTGACAAAAGCTGTAGGCAAATGAAGTACTCCTGTTTGAACCAAGTCAGATGCAACATGCAGTCATATTTCTTTTCCTTGCCTTTCAAAAACAACGTCAAAAAGTGACATTTTTGAGCTGCTTAATCCTTTCCCCTCTTGCAATTTTTCCATTCAAAATTTCCAGGCAGCATTTCTCACTGGAGACAGTATATTGGCATTTACCTTGTGGGGAGGTGTCAAATTGTAGATACATACTCACATTAAAATGGTGATATTTATGTTATCACTTATTTTATCTATAGGGTTTGAAAACTTAGCCAGTGATGACCAGATTGCATTGCTGAAAGGCTCCACAATTGAAACAATGTTTTTACGTTCTGCCCAGATATACAATGAGCAAGCTATTGAATGCCAGTCATCATTCAGTGAAAGTAAGTTATTTCTAGTAGTTTGTGTTTAATTCACATGAATACATGTTTGACATTTTGTTCAATTCATTTTATTCCGCTGTTGTCTACATGGTCATCCTCAACTGTTATTTTTCTTGTTTAACAATAATTTTATTTCTCTCTCAACACTTTACAGAATCATACCAAGTGATCCCAGTGTAACAAATATGATACAATATATATCTCCGTCACAGTGGGTGAACCTCTAGTGTCCTGGCCCCATGGTCATCCTCAACTATTATTTTTCTTGTTTAACAATAATTTTATTTCTCTCTCAACACTTTACAGAATCATACCAAGTGATCCCAGTGTAACAAATATGATACAATATATATCTCCATCAACAGTGGGAGAGCTTCTAGTGTCCTGGCCCCACTGCTGGACCTCCTGATGCCACCTGGTATTTTTGGCCACTGTGTGACAGAGTGTTGGACTGGATGGGCCATTGGCCTGATCCAACACTGGCTTCTCTTATGTTCTTATATTTTAAAAGAGGAATTCAGTAAAGTAATGGATTTTTGTTTCCATTATTCTAGGCCATGTAAAATTTTCTCACCATCCTGTGTGTGGTCAAGATAAAAATACTATTTACTCCATAGAAATGCCTCATACGGAAGAAAGTCCAACATCAACTACTACAACAGGTCTACAACTTCCACATAGTACATATACTTTTAGTAAATTATTATTTCATTTTATTAATTGAAAGTTTCAAAATTGAACTAAATTGCTTAGAATGTTTAATAGCAGTATCTGTTAATGTAGTATCTGTGTTTTTCAGTTGAACTACTGCTTGGTTTGATAATTATTTCCTGTTTTTCTCTTTATGACTATGCTATCATTGTTTCTATTATTTGTTCTTCTGTCTTTGTTCCAGCTACTGAATATTTTCGCCATGATTCTCACTCCCTTGATCCTAAAGCTGTCTACTCTGCTTTCTTGTTTTTCCACTCTTAATGACTTGCATATGCTGCTACTATTTTCACACTTAAGTCTCTCCTCCACTTTTTCTGGGTATTTTTGCATTTGTGTGTGTGTGTGTGCGTGAGCGCACCTGTGCCCGGAAGTCATGGCAACCTCTGGCGACTCCTACTGGGGCATGGAGGACATTCAGACAAGTGGCTTGATAGCCTGCCTCAGCCTCATGGCCCTGGTATTCTTTGGAGGTCTCTCATCCAGATACTTGCCGGGGTTGGCCCTGCTTAGCTTCTGAGATTTGATGAGACTGGGCTCTCTCCTCCACTTTTGATGACTTTGTATGGGCTTCTTTGTGCTTTCATTACTGTTCTGCTCTGCTCTACAACCATGGTTTCTATTATTTACGGTCCTGTACTTGCACCTGTAATTTACAGTGCCACCCTAAACAGAATTACAGCCTTCTAAAGCAGTGACTTCAGTAAACTTAGAAGGGTATAAATGTGCTTAGGACTGCACTGTTCAGTACATTCTTTTGCTATTATATTCACTATGTTGTCTTCCACACAGGGACAAGGTTTGTGGTTTCCCCATTGCTGGCGAGGCAGCAGCAATGGGGCCTCCGCATGGCAGGTTTCCTTGTAGTTTCCCTATCTCATCCTCCAAAGTGCCCCTATTCCCCTGGGCCACCAGGGCTTTTGGAATTTTTTAAAAATCAACACAATAATATAGGTATATTGTTATATCATTGTAACATTAGATGTAGCAGTTTCTCTGAATTCCCAGCTTTCATGTTTTTCTTAAAGTTATCCTATAGCCACCTCCCATGTGAAGATATGCCTTTTTCCTTATACCTCTGCAAGGAAAAGAAGAGTTGGAATTATACCTTGCCTTTCACTCGGAGTTTCAGAGCTATTTACAATCTTATTCCCTTCCTCTGCCCACAACAGACACCCTGCGAGGTAGGTGGAGCTGAGAGAGCTCTGAGAGAACTGCTCTTGAGATAACAGCTCTGAAAGAACTGTGATTGGCCCAACGTCATCCAGCTAGCTTCATGTGGAGGTGTGGGGAATCAAACCCGATTCTCCAGATTAGAGTCCGCCACTTTTAACCACTACATCAAACTGTATAGAGATGTTGTTAAAAATGAAAGCTGAGAATTCAGAGAACCTGGTATATCTATTGTTACAACAGTATATAACAATATTCTACTGCTAATGTTAAAAATAAATAAAAAGCCCCCAGGTGACAGAAAGAGAAAATGGCTGCCATGTGGACAGGATCCGGGAAAATGGCTACCATGTAGGCGAGAAAAACCCACATTTACCCACCCATACAGCTGCCATCCAGCCTTTACAGCAATCTTTCCGAACACCTGAGGGCAAAATAGGTCAGAGAAAGGTTGGGAAACCCATGGAGGTGCACAAATGCACCACGATGCTGCAGGGAAGCAGGAAAAAACGTACTTCCCAAAAGCAATGAACTTGGGTGTACAGGGATTAGCCCACCCAGGCCAGTCCAGGGATGGGAGGGAATCCTGTAAGCCATGAGACAGTCTGTACCATCTCTGGTCTTCACAACAATTTGCCACCAGAACCTCTTTTCACTAGTCCCTGCCTTTCCTAAGGGAGAGATTCCAACCCTTAGTTAGCATCTGGGATTTAACACAATAGCAACTCTATCCAGAGGTGCACACTCTTACCAAGGTAGCATATGTGGTCAGGGTTAGGCACCAGGCTTAGACTTGGAATCCAGTTACAACATCAAAGACATATTAGCAATAAATTGGATCTTTATTCAGTACAGAGCTTAGCATAGACTACCAGAGATTACAAAAATAACAAAGACTAGGGCTGTTTGCCTTAATTAAACATTAATGATTCATAGTTACCACGTCAGGAGTATTCATCAGTCCAAGATAGTCCCAGTACCAAGGGATTTTGAAGGGAAATCCCATTTTTGCACCCCATGTGCTCCAAGTCACAAAGCAGGCCTTTTTGTCTTCCAAGAGACAGCATTTCAGGT